ACACACACACACACACACAGTCACGTAATCTTCATATAAGCCTTAAATAAATAAAAAACTGAAAAACTAATGACGCTGAAAAACTAATGTCATCACCCTCATTATCATGATGCTTTAGTCATCATGCTGTGGTGATTTAATCTTCCAAAAATTGACATCATATCATGACAATGTCATGTGGTATTCTAGTTGTGAAACTGTTTTAGTAACATTTAAGATTTTCAACATTTCGAGAGCGAGAGAGAGATAAAGCGACATGCCTTGAATCAAGGGCAAGGCCAGACTGATATATGTTGCTCTTGTGGAAGACCTTCCAGAGAACATCCACGCTTGACTTTAGGCAAAACAAACAGTAGCTATATAGTCATTTGCATCTTAGCAAAGTTCAGTAATGGAACATTAAGTGTTTGTTTAAATAAAACACATTTAAAGTAGGTCACATACTACATGTAATCTACAGGAGATATGCAAATGAACTCTGAGTGGCTCATACTGAGCAGTTCTGAGCTCATCTGTCCTTGCAGCTCCCCTGTCATGTTTTCTGCTAGTGACCATGATACATGTCGAGGTCATTTAGTGTGTTTCTAGTTAATCTAATATATAGCTAAATGCAGTTTAGTTGTATAGTTGTCTATACAAAAGTGAAATGATCGTATTTTCCTCACCATCCTCATTCAGAGGAACTGGAATTTTTGTTTGATGCCAAATGATGCATAGTGCACACAACCAAACACTCTTTTTAACCTGGCTAAATTGTAGTCAAGCACCAAAATTTCAGAAAATTAAAATATTTGAGAAAAGAAAAATAATTTTAGGTTTCAGCCAAAATAGTTTTTAAGGCTGCAATCACTGAACGAAACAGCGCTTCTCTGATGTTTGGACTTTGTCATTGTCTTAGTGCACACAATGTGGATAAGCTACAACAAGTAAACTTATCAGCAGCGTAGACACACTTCTGGACCAAAAATAATGCTAGAGTAGCAATATATGAAAATAGTTCAACTGTGGAGGCTCATTGACAAAACAGCTTATGAATTGTTTATCATCTGTGCACAGCATACTAAGTTCAATTACCCAAATTCTTTACCAAACTTGTTTTTTTTTTGTTTTGGGTTTTAGGCTAAATTAAAAAACTTTAATTTCAATTTTGGGTGTTTCTGTAAAAAAATAAAATAAAATGATGTTGCATCACTAGTAAACAGCAAAAGTTTCTTTAAACTTTCTGATCAAGAACAGCTGTCAGCTCTCAGCTCTCTTTGCTATAAGTTTAAATGCATCATATAATAATTGCTGTTAATAATGTT